GCTTATGAGACTGTCATAATATTTATTTACGCGCTGTCTTTTATCACCGCATAACCAGAATTTTCCAAATGATTAATTTTTTTTCAATTTATCGTTAAAATAAATCTTTGCATTTATTTTATACATGAATGTTACATTATAATTATTCTATTTCTAATTTCTTTACAATATTGCTTTACTTTCCTATATTTACATATCACAATATTGCTAAAATATGACACTATTAATTGATTATTATTATTATTATTATTATTATTATTATTATTATTATTATTAAATAATAATCTATGAAAAAGACGTTTCGCATAATCAACTGTTATTATGCGACATGCAAATTATTCATTGAGATTCCTTATTAAACTCTCACTAGTATTTGTTTTGATATAAAATTAATTAATTAATTAATTAATTAAATTTATTGTATCACTTACTAAAACTTGTTATAATGATTATTTCATAATTTTCTTTAATTATTGCATTTCCTGCATGCCAGTTATGAATTCGTCTACATAATAAAATATAATAAAATTATAAGATCTCACTTTGTAAAAGAAACATGTTTTTTCTTTGTATTCGAACTTTTAGAATTGATTTATTTTTATTTATAAAGCAAATGGTTGTATTAGAAATTTTTTTATTCTACATATTGTTTGGTTTTTGTTGCTTTATATTTGTTATTTCTATTATATATTAGAAAAGATATCAATTATATGGAATAATTTTATCGATCGAGACAATTTTATTATTCAATTTATGTTTTGCGTGATTTGATACAAGACTTCGACTAAGACTGCAAATTCCCGTTGATAAAAAACTGTTATTTATAAGATAATATACAAATAATTTTAACCATATTTTCTAAAGAAATACTTGCTAATTTTTGTTTCAAGACTTGAAGGACGAAATCATCGGATGTATAAAATTATCAAATCTATGCACAGATTTTAATGTTTCCTTTTTTTTTTTTTTTTTTTTTTTTTTTTTTTTTTTTTTTTTTTTTTTTTTTATTAATTTTTTAACAAAATTACGTGTAGTGTTACTTTAGTATAAATTTATAATTCGGGTGTGGCGTATAAATATAAATTTTGCCAATGTCAATACTTATTGTCTCTAAAGCATCTTCATATTGATTTATTGACAATTATGCGTTATAAAAATGTATGTTCGAGGAGAATGTTCTTATCTTTATAATTGTTTACGTAAAGTTAAATTAGCATTGTATGTACGATTTAGACTTTTTAATCATAAATAAAACAGACACTTCCATTATTTATTTAGTTAGCGTTGTAAATGTATATAAGTTAATTTTCTTTATATTACGAATCAATATGAAATATTCGATTAATTGCAATATAATTAATTGAAGTGAAAATTACTTTATATCCACAGCAATTGATACATTACAATAAACCTTACATTTCTAAAGTTTTTTCTTTCTAATGATTTTTTACAATTTACATGATTGAACGGAGAAGTTTTAATAAATTTAATATTTTAGACATTTCAGAAAATACAAGTTCCGTTTTTTTTTTTTTTTTTAATTATTAAATTATCTTGAACTTGATGGAATAATCAATCAATATGATATAAAATAATTAATTTTTTTAATCACTATCTTTATGAAATATTTGCAATAATTTGTAAAATTGTGAGTATGCATGTGGATTATTCGTTAATCTAACTATCATTCATCAATATATTATAAATAAATAAGTTATTTATTATTATTATTATTATTATTATTATTATTATTATTATTATTGTAAGTATAGGATTTTTATGACTTTATTAAATGCCAGAATACAGTATTTAATTGTGAAAATATATTTGTTTCTGCATTTTTCAATCATATGTAAATGCAAAACTTTATATCCTACTCGCAAATAATTAATCCATAAGTATGATTTTATATTTATTATATTGCAATATAATTACAATAAAATTGTCATTAAATAATGTTGTACTCATTATAAATAATTTGCTATCATCATAGTATAGGCAAATATATGGGAAAATATTTTTATTTTTATCATTCATTCTGGAGTCATATAAACGACTGCATTTTATTATATCATAGTATAACTATTCATTATATAAAACGATGAAATGAGAATTTTTGAAAATGCTTTCTAATGTTTTGTAATTGCATATACAATTTTTTTTTTAAGGCATTCGAATACAAATACAAGGCAAGTTTTCTCTTCCATTGAATGGGCCAAGCAGTAATTTTGAAATGAGCAAAGACGCGATTTCAATCATTATTTTATTAGCATCCTTAGTTGGCTATTTTAATATAATTCATTTATTCAAGTTTGTGAAAATTAGTTCACTGCGTCATAAGTTAAATCTCTTCTTTTGTATCGCAAATGTTACACTTTTATCAAATTTCTTAGCACTTCTTTTATAACTTTTCTACTTCAGCCATGTAACCAAGTATTATTGTGATTTATAGATATTTTTACTAGACGATAAAGACATTCGAACTGTAAATGTAGAAATTCTTTATTACTAAAATTAGTATACAATATCATAGTATAATATGTTAGATAACATCAAATTATATAAAATTGGCCACATAAATATTGACTTGGTGCAACATACAATGCGAGACATTATATTTGATAGAAAAGTGATTGAATTTAATGCACTTCATAATTAATAAACGATCGGATGGATTAAAGTGTCCTGTATACGTGTTAAAATGTAAAATGTATTAAAAATTTTTTTGAAATTAAAAATATTTATCGAATAATGCAAAAATGTTCACGTTTATACAGTTTATCATAGCGTGTAATTTATAATTACGATGCCTTTCAAATTTAATGTATGAATATTAAAAAATTATATTAATTTATGGGAAAAATAAGTTGTTAATAAAGCGTATGAAAAAAAAGTATTTTAAATCTTAAAAAATTCAGAATTTTTATATGTTTCGATTATTTGAAAAACAATATATTAAAAGTTTTAACTGGTATGTGCTCACGTTATTTCCTATTTCTTAATTAAAATGTATAATTATTGTAAAAATTATTTAAAACTGAAAAGTTAAAAAAAAAAAAGAAATCGTATGTTTAACACCGCTTTTAAACATTTTCAATATTATTTCATCCTACTAATTTAATGATTAATTCAACAATAATTAATAATAAACACGTGACAAAAAAACTTTGTATTCTAAATCAATTGATTCGTGAAATATTCTATTACAAAAATATAATCTACACAATACTTTGAAATTTACACAAAGTCCGTTTGAAAATTAACAATATAGATTTTATGTACATAAACAATCGTCGTCATAACGTAAAATGTCGTTAGTTTTCTTGGCAAATTCTTTAAAATTAACGTTATCCATTATTAAACGAACTTCAAATTTTGCACGAATTGTATTTTTACATAACGACGTTCTTATAATATAATAATAGTAATGATAGAATATTGTAAAAATTTTAATAGCACAAATATAAAGTTAAAACTTCAAAATTGATAAAATAATGCTATTTTTCAGTAGAAATGGGAATTTCATTATTTAATTACTCTGAATAATCCTGAAGCGGTCAGTGAATATAATTGAAAAGGCTTATAAGAGTCTTTAATGTACACTTTATCTAGTGGAATAACATGCGGATAATATACAACAATTTTTTTGTCTTCGGTTCGGTGCTTAAATCATTATTTTGACAAATACATCGTCAGATGAAATAAAATCAAATAAATTCATTAATAAAGCATATACTTGTAACAATAATTGCGATTAATTTCACGATAATAAACTATTCAATTATATTGGTTACTATTTATCGAATTTTATATTTCGTAAAATATTAATAATTGACGCAACTGTAAATTCTGATATTATAAGTATATATAAGTGTATTTTTTAGTACAATTGCAAATATAAATTACTATTGTAAATTGTAAATTGTAATTTTATATAAAAGAAAATGAAAGTTTAAGATAAGAGATGATCGGCAAATCAAAGTGAGTGTCGTTTGGGCAAAAAGTGAGAAAATTCAATTATCGGTGTGAGAATGGGCGAGGAGGATAGATCTTTGGCTACTGTTGAGAGTGAAGGATTTTGCGCGGGGTTGGGAGGGGGAGGGGTGGCAACAACAACAACAACAACAACAATAGTTAAACTCCGTGTCCGCTTACCGATCTGCGAAATATAAACTCTGAGTCGGTGATTTGCAGCAAATAAATGTCGCTTTGTAAGAGTTTGCTTTATAAACAAAGTTGATATTTACAATCAATAGATCATTAAGTCAATCGCACATGCAGCTTCTAGAAATGTAAAATTTAAATGTCTGTCAATTTATAGTTTTTTATAAGACTTATTTTTCCTAATAATAATAATAATATTGATACATAAATTTAATAAAGATGAAGTTAACGGATATCTATAACGTTTAGAAATAAACGTATCGATAAAAATTCTTAAAAAAATTCGATCTGTCGCAATTGTTGCTAGATAAATGGTTTTATTGATTTATTATTTCAACAATAGAAAAACGATTTTGTATTTGATTGTAATTATAAATTTAAAAGAACAAACATTTTTTTTATCCGTAAACAACATTGTTTTACTGTTCCTCAAATTTATAATAATAATGTTAGTGATTGATTAAATATTTACATATCTAATAATGGAGTTTTAGGAAAAAAATTATCATACATATATCATTTGATAACATGTGATAAACCAATTGGAAAAATTAGAGAAATTTTCATTTAAAATTATGTACTTTTCACTTTCATTAATTAAAAATGTCATTATCAATGGCGCTAGTGGTTAAAAAAATTCAACCTTCAATAATATTAAATATTACATGATACGTCTATTATTAAATGTTTGCTAGATTTTAAAAATAAAACAATTAGGAATAATTTTAAATTTTCTTTAATTCTAAATATATATATATATATATATATATATATATATATATGTGGAGTTTTGCGCCATCTAACCGTCATTCGACAAAGTGAACTTTCAAACGCCATTTTGAAATACGTCTGACTGTAGTTATCATCTTGAATAATTTTTTTGTAGTACCAGCAATGACATTTTGTCACCAGTTAAGTCGAATATGTGACAATACAAGAAAACTGAAAATTAAATATCTGCAATATGAGCGGCTATAACATTCCTATAATTGAACCTACCATTGATTATACAAAGGTTTGACATTGTTTATAAACAGATATAATTTACACATATGCGCTTATATGTATATATATTTGCGCATGCATTTTATTCAAATCTAAAGGTAACCTCAATTTTATTGCATATTGATATTATTTGGCAGGTTCCACCTATAAATCAAAAAAGAACAATAGCATTTATTAATCATTTTATTGCTCATACGGTAATATTTTTAAATAAATTTTCACTGTCTTGCGAGGAGAGATTTTTTGAATTTGAAGACAAATTGCAAAAGATTGAAGCTGCGTTAGAAATTTTAGAACAAAGGGTAGGTCGTTGTTGTTAAATGTCAGTAAACTCGATATATGTAATGTTTGAATAACGAAACACCTTATTTCTGCGTAGTTTTCATCTATTCCTCATGTTGACACAAAATTAGAAACCGAAGATAACGTAATTGAAAATGAAAGCAAAAGCGAACAAGTTAAACAAGCTGAAGCTGCTGTTCCTGAAATCGTTGAATCCGATAAGGTAATTCGGATCGAACAGACAGTTGAGAAAAGTGAGACACAGCCGGTAAGTTCAGATCCGCAGTATGAGAAATATTTTAAAATGATTCACTTCGGTGTACCAAAGCAAGCTGTTAAATTAAGTATGGAACAAGAAGGATTGGATTCACGTATATTAGAGTAAGATATACTTATGTAATTTATAAATAACTTCTCTATACTTTTTTCATATAACAATTTTTATCATTTTAATAGTAATCCAAATCAATTAGTACCAAAAACAAAACCTGATATAAATCCAGATGTAAATGCGAATGGTTGAAGCAAATGTAAGTTACACATACACTTTCTCGTTGTACAGATGTTAAAAATAAATGAAAATACAAACCACAAATTAAATGATTTATTGTTTTATTAAATACAGTTCCTTAAAGTTAGAAATTAAGTTAACTTCTTAGAACTGAATCATCTGACCCTAAAAAATAAAAATAAAATATTTTTTTGAAGAAATTGACGTGTAAACAACGTTAAGTTTAAACCAGTTTTAAGATATTGCCTTACCTTTCTCTTCTTGTCGCCACCAAGTTCAAAGTGTTTGCAACGCTTAAGGGGAATTTGTTTTCTATACTTGCACTCTGTGCATTCCATTCTTAAAACAATTTTCTTTGTGGTCTTAGCCTGTTAGGTGAAACTCTTATATTAATAATTTAATACAATATAATAGTAGTAATAATAATAATATTTATCGTTTGAATAAGTAATTTATTATATCGATAATATAACTAATATGAACAATTTGATATAAATATTTAGCCAAGTTGTTCATTTGGAGACTATCGCTATCTAACGGAGCTTCAATTAAAATACAAACATTTAATTATATCACTTATTGAAGGTAAGCCAAATCTTTAATAATACTAATTCAGGCAATATCAAGGATTGGTATTATTTCGTACCAAATTCAAATATTTATCTTGAATAAAACATAAGATTTTCATTAGAACGTATAATACAAAATCCACTACAATGAAATATAAATTTATTGTTAAATTCGTTGGCAGTACAAATATTATTATAGATAAATACAGACAAAGATCAAACGTTATGTTTAATACTATTATTAAGGAACTGGTTTACAATAAATTAGATTAATTTCTTAACTAAAGACTTTCTCATTAAGGAGCATTATGAATATATTAATGTTGAATTAAAGAAAAAAAAAAAAAAAAATATCTTACGCAAGCCACCATTATAATTTACTAATAACAATCGACGAGATAATGCCTTTTATTAAGTAGAACATGAATTTCTTATAACCTACCTTTTTTCTGAAAATAGGTTTTGTCTGTCCACCAAATCCTTGCTGTTTACGATCATAACGTCTTCTTCCCTGCGACGCGTGTCGTTCTTTACTTTTTTTGTACTGTGTTACTTTATGAGGCTTGTGTACTTTACACTTTTTACAAAATGTGCGCCTTTGCTTAGGTACATTCACCTAAAATTAAGATCGTCCATTGAGTTTACAATTTGGAAGTAAATATTCATTTTTATACCCTTGATTTTAATGATTTCGTGAAAAATTATAATAATCCCATGTAAAATCCAACGAATGACATACGTGCAACGATAGAACTTATAATTAATTGACAAACACGAGCTTTACTTGTATTATGGTACTGCCAGTGTAAATTGCAGGTTAAGTCAGCCAATGTCATCAACATATCAAGGAGGCGAAAATTAAAAATTGACTGCATAGATTAATTAATAACAAATACATACATTCGATTAACATGCATTTTATCAGTTTATCGCGCTCCGATGATAATGATGACATTGGATTACATTACCATTATTATAAACTTTATTCACCTACCATTTTGGATGTATGGAAGGAAAAGGAAGTGAAAACGTCGTATGTATTTTATGGGAAGTCGAATGTGGCGACATCTAAGTGATAGAGGAGCATCAGACCGACCTGACTCGTTAAATGCATTTGAATATCCGAATTATTTAGCGAAATAAGAGTCGTTTGAAAAAAAAATTCTCATATTCCCATTTCAATTTCAAATTGCCACTGTGTGCGATTATGCCATTTGTCGGATTATCGAGGTGTAAAGGACAGCCGATTTGGCGCGTTATGGAGATTGTAGAGCGCAGTGGAGCGCAAAGGCGAGAGAGAAGTACTTACGTTTGCTTACACACCGGCGACCGATACGACCGACAACCGAAATCAACGTTGTAATTTCATGGATGGATTACATGTTTCGGGATGACGGCGATGAGAGGGAAAACAATAATAAAATAATATTTCTTAAAATATTTGTATTACCGCTGGCGGCTGTGCATGCACGATGAATCATAATATATCAAATCGCGATAATTGATCGCGAGTCGTCTTGTGTTCTTATTTAGTAGTTAATTTTTGTTTTAATCCCGCGTCCATGCGACAGAATATGCCCTATCGTATTTATAAGCGCAATAAACACTGCATCGAGTTATGTATGCGGCGGCGGTGGCGGCGACCTGCGCGCGCGCGTCTGCTATGTGTGCGTAGTTTGAGCGCGCGTGCATAACAAAGAGCGAGCGAGAGCGAGCGAGAGAGAGAGAGAGAGAGAGAGAGAGAGAGAGAGAGAGAATGGAGATTTACGTAGAAGTAGTATACAAGTGCTGAGCAAGCGACACGGAGAATGTGAGAAGCCGGCGAACGACGGCTCTCGCTCTCTCTTTCCTCCTTTCTCGAAATGTAGTTGGGACTGCATTGAATTTTCAGAAAAATAAATGATTCACATACCAGCTCTCACCGTCACTTAGGATGCCAGTGGAAAAAAGATCCGCAGCCGAACGTAAAGCCCAGGCATACATAATCCTCGATCGTTCTATATAACGATATACTTTACATACTTTTAACGACTATTTATCCCCAATCCTCCTATAATGTCCCAAGTTTGTACAAAAGGACGCCGCCTAGTCGAAATACCGGCCGTTCTCTTAAATCCCTAACGCCTCGAATTTTCAATATTTCCCCTCCGTCAGCCCCCACTGCCTACGTCGTCTAATACGTGCCATCGACATTTCTTCGGCCTAGACTCCCAAATTTTTGTTGTCAAACTTATTAGCGTCGCTAGGTTTTTATTACCTACACCTGTGCCCCACCGTGCAACGTGTGCTCTATAAATACTCGAGTCTCACACAGACACACACACGCAGACGTCCCATAGCAGCATCGAGTACAATATTTAGCTTGTCATTTACATTATTATTTATTATTTATCATTAGATCTATTACTTACGGCTATGATTATCGTCGTTATTACAATATCTCCATTTCAAGAAAGCACGGGCGCTCAAGTACGTAATAACGAGTTGAATAATCATTTTGGTTTTGTACCATTTCCTGGCACATATCCGATCGACAAGTTTAAAAGCGCACGCACGCGCTCCAATAGACATTCGAATTGGGCTCAACAGCAACAAATTAATAGCCGACATTTATGCATAATTGGACGCTAATTGACCAAGCATCGTCGAATATAAATAAATAAGATGACGTTGTTATAAAGCACATGGACCGTCACCGTCGTCTGCCAAGTACAGGATAAAATCCGCAGAGGGCACGTAGATGCTTCGTTTCCACCAGTTCCGTCCTTTATTTCTATCGAGCCCCTCCCGCGCACCGCGCGGAACACGAGGCGGTTGCCGCCGCCGCCGCCGCCGCCGCCGTTGCTGCTGCTGCTGCTGCTGCTGCATAGCGCACGCGTCCCCCTTGCTTCACCGCCCGCGACGTGCAATAGTAGCAACCAACGCCGCTCAAAGATCGAGAAGCTCACGAACAGGGACGTCACGTGTCTGTGTGCGCGGGACTGCGGAAGGCCCGGGAGCCCGACTATGTCGAAGGACTTAAGCTTCAATGGGGGTTGTTGGTTGAAGAATGAGAGTGTAAGAAGGAAGAGGTGGAGGAGAGGGGGGGGGGGTGAGAATGAGAGGGCAAGAGGGCCGAATATCCGACGTGCAGCCCTCGCGCGCTTTCTCCTTCCTCTTCTTTTCTCGTTTTTCCGTTTGGGAGCAGCTTCGCGTCACGATGGGGCGCGCGCGCGGCAAAAAAGCTGTATGTCCGAGTCCCATGGGCTTTGACTACGGCGGCCAGGGTGAACGTAAATCTCGTCGGCACGAGGCGCGCTTATATGTGCCTTTGGCCTCGGGCTTGTCATTTTGGAACGCGCGCGCTACGCTTTCGAATAAGCATGAGAGATATCAGTGTGTGTGCGCGCGCGCATGTGCGTGTGTGACAGAGAGAGAGATAGAGAGATAGAGATAGATAGAGAGAGAGAGAGAGAGAGCGAGCAAAGGTGGGGAAGATCGATTTTTTTTAACGCGTATGTATTGAGACTCAACAAGTCGAAAACGAGAGCGAGCGAGGGGTTTAGATTATCGAAAAGATGTCGGTACTCGGGACTACATGGAGCCTTATACTAGCCGAGGGAGGAGGAGAGAAAGAGAAGGGCGCACGATACGCGAACCAGGCTTATCTTCTTTTCTCCTCTCCCTTCGCCCCTCTTACAAACATACACCGATTCCTCTCTCACTCTCTCTCTCTCTCTCTCTCTCTCTCTCTCTCCTCTCCTCCTTTCTTGTGCAGCGCGTATCGTGCCAATGTGCGCTCGGGCGACATCCTTGACGCGGTCATTTTTTCAGCCCGAAACTGTCACTCGCATAACCGTGCAACTTGCGCTTTCCATTCACATTATATTTTGGCGCCACGCATATCGACGAGCCATACTAGATCGACGTCTATACACTAACACTATCGTAATCCCGCGTTTTTCTGCTGTTCCTTCGAAGCCGGCATTTTTTCCCGCTAGCGGTTATCAGATTGTCAGCTGTTATCGACCCCCCCCCTCCCCACCCCCACCGCCATTCACGTCTGGTCCCATGTCGAGTTACTGTTTCTTATCTTTCTCGACGAGGCGGTGAGAGAAAATACGGCCATACTCGGTCAAACGCTCGCCACTGAAATTTTACATCCGTAAAATTAATTCACGCCCGTTGGGATCGTGCGTTTGGGCGTTTTATCGGCTTTCAAAGCCGCGCCATCTTCATTTTTGAACAAAGCCCGAGCGCCGTTTGAAACGTGAAACGGCAATACCATACACTCGACGGCATAGAGGATGATGAGATCGTGTGCGATGTTGCCGGCTCTTTTTCCACGGATTTTTCCGGCTCTTCTACTCCTGCGTGCGTAGCTTCGCATGTGTGCCCTCATGCACACCTTCTGCGCGAATTCCGATACTATTTTATCGTATATTTTAATCCAACGGCATACTATTATTCCTCCAGACGATAATAAATATGACAATGTTAAGTCTGCCAATCGGGGGCATTGGCAGGATATGTATTTTTTTTTTCATTGCGCCCAATAGAGTTTTCCTTTGTTCCCATGATCGGCTTATAATGTGTCGCCGTACGTACTTCGATATTTTTAACAAACTATTTATACATTCTGCATACTTGTTTTTCATTATAAGAAATATATTGCATATCGGTGCTTTTCATAAGCGCGCACGGGACTCTCCAAGCTTTGCTATAAAAATCAAACTAAAACCCGTGGCTGCTTACGTTACGTTAAAAGGATAGATCGAACGATGGATGCAAACGACTCGAATGACTCGGAATCATTTTCAATCTTCATACCCAAGCGTTTTACTACAACCATCGTCCCGAGAGCTCGTGCTCGAAGGGCTACAAATTTAAAAAATTAATGTTCAATAATCGTAAGGAATTATGGGACTAAGTTGAATGACATACCGTAAGGCTTAAACGACGATGCTAATGCAATAAGCGAACGATAAAATGTAAAAGAATATTTATTGAAAAATGTGATGATGTTAAAGTGGGTAATGAAGATACCTACAGCGTTGCCATCTGGAGGATTCTAGATTAAAATATTTCCTAGAAGAGCCTACTTGTATTAATTCCATTTATTTTATACGCGCTTATGGGTACTTTTACTTGCAAACTGCTCTCTTAATAAATACGGTTAAATCATCGGAAAATTATCTTAATTGCAAAGGTCAATAATGGCTAACGAAGATGGCGAGTTTACCGAAAAATTACTTTCGCTATTTTTAGGCTATTGGGATGGCAGGAAAATGATTATGTATTAATCAAGTGGCGATTATAATTTCAGTCTTACATTTTGATATAAGTAAAGAGTAGATTACGATAAACCTCGCATAAGACTCATTGAGTTGGCGATTTGGAGGTTAGGTTAGCCACGTTTCTTATTTAGCTTTCATCCGCCGCAAGACGACTGATTCAATACGTCGATTGGAAGAAAGAAAAAAAATCCATAATTTATTGCATACAGATTGTCTCTTGTAAATTTGTGCGCATCACCGTCTTCTTTTTTTTCCCCTAACAAATAATACGCCTATCTTCTTTTCTCGTCTTGTGCCACCGGCTAATATTTCCAAGAACTTTACATTCGGAAATATTCGTAAAAGCTAGAAAACAATATATACCTAAATAAAGCGATTATTAAAATGTTAAATAGTAGATCAGAACTTTTGCCGTAAAACATCATTTTACCTTTTTATATATTTTATATTTTATATATATATATATATTTATATATTTTATACATTTTACATATAATATATATATATATATATATATATATATATATATATATATATATATATTTGTTTACTCATTCAACAATGTATGAATAGTTTTGTAGCGGCAGATCCGATACGTTGTCGTGATAAACTTAAGATGATTTAAAATTTTAATTCATAAATTCATGAGCTAAAAGTTGCCCAGGTTTCGATTCGAGCAAAACTTTCTTCCCAATCTATGACTACAATACAATGCCGAGCCCCTTGAACAAGCGTCAACTAGTGCAACAGCCACAGGAAAACGTCGACCGATACATGGGGGCGATAATAATATTTATCTTCAATTCAAAATCC